AAATAAATAAATAAAATAATAAAATGAACTGAAAGGGGATAAAAGGAAGAATGAAAGTAGAACTATTCTAGGGGAAATGGGGCAGGAGGGAATCGAAGGGTAGAATAGAAGCAGACAGGAGTGCACACCTCTCCTTGACCTGGTATTGAGACTTTCAAGGAGTACTCTGTCCTTAATCTGAGGTTACCATACTTTTTACAAGGAAAATAGGTTATGTTGTCTTTCTAGATTCTTCTTTAAATGGTCTTTCCTGGATGTTTGGGGGTTTTGTTTGTTTGTTTTTTGGTTTTGAAGTTTTTCCAAGCCTTCTGCCATGGTCTGGACTTTGTACAAGCCTGGACCTCATCAACATCCTGACATATTACATACACTTGAGCAAAGTTTGAATCACAAGCTTTTATAGATTTTTATCCATAGCTAATTATTAAGAAAGCAAAGGAAAAACAACATCAGGGCCTCTTTGATTTTCATGTAGACACAAGCCACCTGTCTCTCCACTTACTAATGGCTAAATTTCTGCCTAAAACAAAAGACTCTTGCTGAGTCACAAGAGGGAATAAAAGTCAAAGACAAGTTAAAACTTGGGTGAACATTGAGGACATTATGCTTAGGGAATTAAGCCACACACATGCATGCACACACATACACACCAAATACTCAGTAGCTCCAGGTATACCACTGGGCTGTAGTAGTCAAATTTAGAGGCAGAAAGGAGAATATATTAATCAGAACTTTGGATAGGTTTGTAAGGGGAATTACTGTTCTATCAGACATGGGAATTTTATGGAAAATAAAAAACAGATGTGGATGGTGGTGATAGCACCCCAAAGTGAATGTACAGAACTGTACATTCTTGTACAGTTGTACTTGATGCTACAGAACTGTACACTTAAAATGGTTAAAATTGGAAATATGTGGTGTGCATACTTTAATCATACATAAAAGTGTGACAAAGAAAATAAACTCTTTTATTCAGTGTTCATACATCCATTCATCCCACCACAATAACACACTGATGTGCTATACTTGTCTCCTGCTCAGATTCTTAACAGAACAGAGATCCATAGGCTTGAACAAAGTGACAGCATTTCTCAAAATCAATAGACAAAGTTACTTACCTAATCAGGATTGCAGCACAATCATTTCTTATCACAAGGAAAAAGGCACCTAGAAGCACTACCTCTGTAATTGAGATAATGATCTTTCCAAAAAGAAAAATAAAAAGGAAAAGAGTTTCAATTACAAATAAATTTTACACATTATTACTATTAGGACAGATATAGATGGACATGTAGGTTACAGAGACATAGATCTCTGCACTGAACTAAACACTCTAAATGTGCTGGCCAAATTTCCACAAAGAATGTAAAATATACTTTATTAGTCTGTAGTTTCCTACATTATATTGAAAATTTCAGAGGAGGTGACAGGACAGCAGAAAAGCGAAAGTTCCTCCCAGTGTCCTGCCAGGCACTGCCAGATCAGGGCACAGCTCAGGCGCTGAGCTCACAAATGCCATGAAATGTCAAAGAGCAATGCAGGCACCTGCAGGGGTCCTGGTGGGAACAAAATAAAGTCCACATGACTAAGAGTTGTGTCTTGAACTGACATCTCAGTCTCTGTGCCAGTGGACATGCACAGTTTTATACTTCAAGAGGCTAAAGTGAAAACAAGATGAATTTAAGCATAATTTTAGGTCTTAAGACCTAAAACTACCAGAAAAGTAGCTCCGAGGTAGAATGCTTGCTTTTCACATACAAAACTGAATGAATAATAAAGTTTTTTAAAGCACACAATGGCATTTTCCACAATAAGGAACTGTGGGTGAACTGTAGGCCAGTTACCCAATCTCTAGGAAGTCCCTGACTGCATAGAAAAGGGAACTGTCACTTTAACCAAATCTTTCAGCCTGCTTTCCTAGGACACCAAAGAGATGCCTTTACCCCTCTCTGCCATTGCTTTTCCATAAACCTCGACCAGTGAGGCCTGCAGTCCCCAAGGCCGCCCGAGCTGCCAGTGCTTGCACTCGTCACCTACTCAGTCTGCGTGGATGGCTCCCAGGGGACCGCACAAATGTCTCCTTAGTTTTCAGGATAAAAAGTCTCTGAAGGACCAGCAGTTAGCAAAGGCTTCAACATGATGCTACATAATGGAGGAATTCTACCTACAGTTCCTCACAGATTACATATAAAAATATGAGAAACGATCACCTAAAAACCAAAATATCCTATATGTCTTTGAAAATATCATAATTATAAAAATCTCAGTACTCTTACAGTACCAAGACATAATAGTTTATAAAGCACCCTTTTGGAATGAAGAATAGCAAACTAGTAAGAAAGAATAATGATCTACCTGCAAAGACTAGCTTATGGAAATCACACCCTATGAAGGATATCATTTAAATGTTCCACTCATGAAATAACTTTAAAAATTCCCCGTGCTATCAAGTAGTGATATGAGGCCGATTCCACTACCCTGGCATATTTTCACTATATTCAGAATATACTCATTCATTGCAACAGTGCAATTTTCCAAGATAAATGCTGATGGCTCTATTAACATTCAGAACTCACACGTGTGCGATAACCTATATTTTGCACAGTAAAGCATTTTAAGGTATTCACCACACTAGATCCTCACTATTCTTCATCTGTTTTCTATTCAAACATGATACCTTATCCCATGTCCTAGTTACTTTCCTGTCACTGGGAGACTGTACACTCACAACTCAAAGGAGGAGAGGTTTATTTCAACTCACGGCTTTTAAAGCTTTCAGCCCAGAGTTAGCCGGTTCCAAGACAGAAACACGGGGAAACGGTCTGGGGGGAAGAAAGATGCTCCTGCTATGGTGGACAGGAAGCAGAGAGAGAGGCAGCAGGGAGGGAGATGTACTCTTCCAGGTCATGACCCAATGACCCACTGCTAATCAGGCCAGATCTCCTAACATCAAGTGAGCTATATCATGCAATTTCTTCCTAAAACCCCTCATCCAATCATTTTCTCTAAAAACCCCACTTCTCATGGGACTTTGGGAGGACATGAGATTTAAACTGTGATGTACCAACAATATCACTGTTATCAATGGGATGCTTCATACAGGTTCAAAGTTCTTAAACTATTTTAGTCAGCTGTCAGATATAGTGGTGTTATAATGAATTTCATGGGAAAGTCCTGCTTTTATAAGGCACAAATGTGTTATTCATTCTGTCATGAAAGAAGCCTTCAAGCAAACTGACCATTTCACAACAGAAGAAATGACACTGCTATGAGCACTGGGCACCTGGTCTCAGTCCTGTTTTGCTAAAAGAGGGTGAAAAGTGATTTAAAAAAAAATAAACTCTCCAAATATGTCACTGTTCTAAGATGTTTAGCCAATATTTTGATAGTGTGTTCTGAGAGGTGTTTATGGCTAACACTAATAGAAGGAATCCAGAGTCAAATGTTTACTATGCTAATAGAAAGGACTCTGCATGTGATCAACTATTATGTCTGCAAAGTTGATTTGATCAGAAAAACCCGTGGCACAGTAAATGCACAATACTCTCCTTAAACAGATAACCAGTTATGGCAAGATCTCCCAAATACAACCATTATTAAATGGCCAATGCTGAAACGCTAGAATATATAACAAGTTCAAACAAACAAAAAAAAAGCTATGAGAAAATAGAAGTCAGATTTATCAGCAGAAAGTCATAAATATTTCAATAGCTCCATATACAAAAACAGATATAATAAACCTACAAGATGGAGAACCTAACCCAAAGGTCAGTGACCAATGGCCCAATGACCAGAGGGGTCAGACATAAATTTGTGTTAAGCTATAAGCTTAATAGACAGAGTAGATCAAGAATACTATTTCTTCCAGTGTCAAATATATATGAAGTTGAAAATTCAGTATCCATGAATAAAATTTTAATAGTGAACAGCCTTGTTTATTTTCTTACATATTACTTATGATAGTAACAATAAACTAGCAGTGTTCACCACCTGAGAAAAAGATCATGTAGCACCTACAAAGCCTAACATATTTACTATGTGGTCCTCTTCCAAAGAGGACTTCCTACTTTGCTGCTACTATTCCAGTATTTCTAAACCTGAACAAGAGCAGTTATTGCTGTCTCAGGGAGATACAAGGTCCTGCACTTATTCTAGAGATTGATGCTTCTCTGCACCTTGCTGGGATTCCTGTTGTGGAAATGAGTTTCCTGGTGCAACACGAATAGGCCAAACATGCACCTGATGTTTGCAACACATGGAAGCCTAGCACCAAACCACACACAGTACGAAGTGTGTAAGTAGGTGCGTTCTAATCACACTTGGCCCAGAGCTAACATATATTTGTCTTGGATCAAATACATACAAACCACTTTTTGAGGAAGCAAGAAATAGATCTTATCAAAACAGTCCCTGAAAAATTCTAAAAGTGCTAAAAACATCATGTTACAGTGACGTGTGCATGCTCATGTTTAAAACAGCACAATCTGTAATAGCTATACCTTGGAAGTGGCCCACACATCCACCAACAGATGAATGGATAAAGGAAATGTGATGTTTATATATAGTGGAGTACTACTCTACCATAAAGAAGGATAAACTTGAGTCACCTGAAAGATGAAGGGTGCACTTTGAGCCCATAGTGTTGAGTGAAATAAATCAGGCATACAAATTCTTAAATAGTACATAGTTTCTCTTATATGAGAACACCAAAATATAAATAAAGAGAAAAATAGAATACAGAGAATAGGAATTAGGGAGCTAGGTTTTTCTCAAATGGGACAGGGATCAGGAGAAGGACAAAGGCAGGAGGGGGAGGGGAAGGAAGTGAGAAAGGAGTTGAGTTATATCATGTTCATATAACCACTCCCCACAAGGGACGTGACCACCCACTGTGGCTCCAGACACGGTGAGGCAGCTCATCAGTGTGCAACAGTAGGTAGCCAAGTGGATACATCTACCTCATCAACCTTGTTTCCAAGTGACATCAAGTTTCTTCTCAAAAAAAAAAATTACTCTTCACTGACACACAGAAGTGCCTGTGTTCTCAGAGGACCAGAAACCTTTGGCTCAATTGAGAAAGTGACTCTAATGATATCAGCTTTCTGATGCGTGACAACAATATTGAGATATGAAAATTATAGTACACATTAAGTACTCTCTAGTATGTCAATAATGCCAAAACATGCATTTAATATTCAACAAAAACTCAGTGATGGATAATAAGAACAACAACTCAAGAACAACCACCTAAATTGATATTCTTGTAATTTTTGGAAAAGCCAACTAGGAGAACTAAAGTTTATGTGCTATCACAATTAAGGCTAACAGAAAAAGCATAAAGTATGATAATCACCACTCTCCAGAATCAGCAAAAAGAAAAGCATATTATGTCATCTTAGTGGAGAGGTCCGTAAGTTTGGTTCCTATCTGTTTACAGACTGCAAACTCTTGGAAGTGTCCATTGATTGCCAAAGTCTCGGATCACACGGCGAGCAGGCTCCTTGCTCAGGCAGCACACAGCCCTCCCCTCCCGGTCCCCGCAGGTCAGCTCAGGGCACTGGGTTCCCTGACTGCAGATTTCATCCACAGACCAACCCCTCCTCTCAGTCTCCTCCCCTCTGTCCCCTCTGCACCCCGTCTCTGCTCAAGCTTCTAGCACAGTCCCTTGTGTCACTGCACCTGCTTTGCTTAACTTTATTATATTATAGTTTTTACTCCGCCATAAGAAGATAAGTTTCATGAAAGCAGAGATTTTTATTTTTCCTCACTGTGCTCACTATTGCTAAGAGTTCCCAAAGAGCAATACAAAACCTTGTAGTGACTTTGTGCAATGAATCAGTGAGTGAAAGTGGATACCTGTTAGGAAAACATGAAGTAAGTAGTGTTTCCTTTAGTTCACCTATTTTGAAGCAAAATGAAGCTTCTACTTAGATTACCTAACACAATGTGTATGAAATATTCAGGGATGCTCCAACAAAGCTTTCACAAATTAAAAACGTGTGTTATTTGTTCCACTGATTGTTTCTATATCCTAGATGGAGTGAGGGTGATAAATACATGGAAGGGCGGGAGATAAACAACCCTGGAGAAGGATAAACTTTTTCTACATTACTATGCTACAACACAATGAAAAGCATCTTCCAGCTTACCTCAGTTATAGAGGCCTTGCGATCACCCAACAAGTTTTTAAATAAGCGCCAGCTAATCCATCTGAGCTGGTGCCAAAAGGAGGTGGCACAAGTGAACTCCTTGAAGGCTGAACTCTTCTTCTTCTGACTGACTGAGAGTTGATCTAGTTCAGCTTTTGTATCTCTGTAGAAGGAAGAGTTGGCATAGATCTCAGCTAAGTTTTCTATGCCTGGCTCATCTCTCCTGGAAAACTCTTCCATCTTCTCACCTTTGTCATAAAAGTGGACAAAAAATAAACAGTATTAGAGGAAAGACATGATTGAATACATTTCATTGGAACTCATTTCTTGTACCTCACCTCAGTTCTACAGCATGAGAATAAAAAATTAACAACAATGCCATGACTATATACACTAAGCAGTCACATTTTCCTAGGGCCATAACCTTATAGATACAGCAAACCAGTTGACCTTTTCCCATTTCTACAGTAATTCTTAAAATAGATGTATTACTGTACAGACATGTAATTATCAATAAGAAACTTAGGGCCTTCAAAAGTTTAAAGGACAAATTTAATTTGTTTGTTTTTTTAATAACATAGGGTTAACCATTGTTGGAGGATGAGGCAAGAGAATTTCAAATGTGAGCACAGGCTGGACAATTTAGCAAGATAATATATCAACCACAGATAGAGAAGAGAGAGGAGGCAAGAAGACTGAGGAGGCAGCTGCTTAAATATCTTTCCATAAAAATAATGAATGAATGTATTTTTACAGAAATTCTTTTTTAAATTTTATTTTAAAGAGAAAAAAGCAAACAAAAAAACAAACATAAAGTCAAAAATAAAACAACAAAAAATAATAAAAATGATACAGTATTTCAAAACAAGGTGATAGGAAATCAACAATAGTTGTTATATTACATATTGTTATCTTCAAAGTAGTTGCTCAGATCATCAGACATAGGTATGCAAGATCAATTAAACAATTACGCATTAACTGTTCATTTCAACAAACCGATAGAAATTAGTAGTACAATTATCCCAGCTATCTTTGTGTGTGTGTGTGTGTGTGTGTATATATACACTATATATATGTTATTTATATATATATATATATACACTATGTTATATATGTGTGTGTTATTATATATATATATATATATATTTCCCCTCCTTTTCTCCTTCCCCCATCCCAGCTGTTCCTTCCCTTTAAAAAAATGATAAACTTAACAATAGAAATTCTGGTTAGAAGTGATAGTAACTTATAAATGCTCATTTGTAAATTAAATCAAAACCACCAACAGCACTAGGGGAAAATAGTGTATCTTATGACTGCTATCAGAACACTACTTTAATCTAGGTATTGTGGTGTACACCTGACATCCTGGTAACTAGGGAGACAGAAGCAAGAGCACTGGTAGTTGGACATCAGCCTGGGCCCTGACTCAAAATAAAATTCTTAAAAAGTGTAGGGATAGAAGGCTTACCTAACACCAGCAGGCCCTATGATCAATCCAGTATTAAAGAAAAGAAAAGAAAAGAAAAGAAAAGAAAAGAAAAGAAAAGAAAAGAAAAGAAGAAAATTAGAATAGAATAGAATAGAATAGAATAGAATAGAATAGAATAGAATAGAATAGAATAGAATAGAAAAGAAAAGAAAGAGAGAAAGAAAGAGGGAGGGATGGAGGAAGGAAGGAAAGAAGGAGGGAAGGAAGGAAGGAAGGAATGAAGGAAGGAAGGAAGGAAGGAAGAAAGGGAGGGAGGGAGGAGGACTGCATTCACATGAATTCACAAAGCCTTCTTCAGGTAAGTATTAACATTGCTAAATCTCAGCCACTGCAACTAGGTAAAACTCTGTAAATATTAGAGACCCACATACATTCATGGCCTTCCTCCTCTCTGTCTGATTCCATAGCAGTGAAGACTCCACTGATGACATCCAGCAAGAACACAGCAGGGTTGGTGTAGGGACCACAGTTGTAACCTATGGAACAAAGAAGGCAATCCAAGAAGACAGAGCTGATGTCCTTGGAAATAAAAAGCATTCATATCAGAGGGTAGGTGAGGTGCGGCATGTGGACATAGAATCCAAACACTCCCCTTCTCCCTCATCCTTTCTTCTCCTCTGGCTCATTTATCCTTTCCTGCATATATGTGATGTTTCAGTGACTCTCTGTATCATATATATCGAGAAAAAAACATAAGTGCCAGAGTGTAAATGCTCCCTAAATTCCCCTAGGAAACACTGGGACAGCAGTACACATGCCACCTACTAACCTTAGCAGTCTAATTTTACTTGTCATGATATCATTAATTCCAAATAGACAAGAAATTCCCACCACAACATTCTGCAGAGAACATGACCAACACAGAACACCTGAATACAGACCTCAACTTCTTTTGGTGCAATCATCTCAACTTGGCCTGAAATCTGACAGCTAAATTCAGCTCCCATGGACTCTACAGATTCACACACAGTATGATTATTTCTTTTGAATAAAACTGATTAAACAAATTCATACTAAGACCTGTGGCTAGTAAGTATTTAAAATTGTATTTAAGTCAGGGAAAGCATCTCTAATTATATGAAAATATTTCAAAAATGAAGCAGAGGACATGTACCATTAAAAACTAAACCACCTGACTCAATGTAAAGTAGAAAGAAGCAGTACGGAAATGTTGGCACATCAAAAAGACATTAAGGATGTAGGAGATTGGCAAGCTTGACCCCAGGCTGGGCAACATAGAGAGTTAGTGGGACACATTGTCTCAAATTAAAACTTTAAAAGTGGCTAAGCCTGTACCTCCATATACAGGCTCATCCTTCTATCCTCAGTATCCCCCATCAAAACCTAAAAACCAGGTAGGTTCAAATGACAAAAACTAGCTGTGAGTCTGATACACAATCACTAAACTCTCAAGAAAATGTCACCACACCTGGGAAGCAACACAAACACAGGCCAAGGAGACAAACTCCGGCAGACACACACACACATGCACAATCAACTAGGACAGAAAATGGAAAGAAGCCTAAACAACAAACAAGCACTGAAAAAAGAAGAAAAGTTGTGGTACTAAATGGGTCAAAGATGATTTAGAGTGGTAGAACCCAAAGCTTGTCTGTGCAAGATCAAACAGCGCTCCTGTGTCCTCCTCTATGCTCTTCCAGGATTTTTGCTTGAGGACCTACTGCATGCAGAACTCAACCGTACCTGCTGATGCAAAGTGCTCTACAGCCATCTGCGCAGGACCGTGGAATATTAGTTTTCCTGCCGCCAGTAAGGTGAGGCTGTCAAACATCTTGAAGATGGAATGCTGAGGCTGATGAATGGAAAAGATGATTGTTCGTCCCTGCTTAGACAGCCTATGTCAAAGGAGAGGAAAGAACTAGTCGTTACACATCCAAACTTTGCACTTCCTGAAAAATACTTTCTTTCTGACTGTAGGCAATTTGATCCCAGTTCAATTTCATTTTTGTTATAAGTATCTCATTGAGCCTTACAATGTAAATTTGATGTTAACTTTAATACTTTTATTTAAATAGGCAAGAGTTTCTTAAAGGATGGTGCATTAACAGTATAGAATCCACTAGAAGCCTTATTAAAAGGTAGATTCTTTAACAGTCTTTCCAGACACTGAATTAGAATCTCTGTAGTGTGTACAAGGAGTCCAGGTTGTTGACAACCACCCCAAGTAATCTGAAAACATACTCACCACTGTGTTATATGAAATAAATCTTAAACCAATAATCACCTGATCTTAAATCATCTTGTGCTTTATGATTATTATGAATTATTCTACCTTGAGAAACAACATTACTAAGCACACAGAGAGAATATAAACTGATACATACATTATACCTATTTGCACACAGAAAACATAAAATGTATTTATCATCAATATACTTCCAACATTTATATATACATACATATGTGTATGGACACTCATAAGTGTGCATTTCTTGATCTTGTCTACTGTGGGTGTAGAAGTAAGGATAACCGTGTACTCTTCAGGCAATTAAGGCTGAACCAGATCACTGAGTGGGTGATAGGGTCCATTTAAGAGGATACGGAACATAGACAGACAAAGGAGAAGATGTTCATCTCCAAGGCAATGACAGAGGAATCAGAAGAATAATGCCATGGATACCCTGATCCCAGATTGCCAGCCTCCAGAGCTATGAAAAAATTAAATATCTGCTGTTTTTTAACTTTATTTTAAAGAGGAACAAAGTAAAACAAAATTCCAAAACAAGATAATAGGAGAATAACAATGGTTAATACATTGTGTATTGTTATCCTCAAATTAGTTACTCAGAGTACAAGATATGAGGCATTTAATTGTCCAAACAACATTAACATAACCCTTTCTTTTCAGTGAACTAAGAGAAAGTAGTAGTGTAACAATCCGAACTATCTTGTGTGTGTGTATACATACATATATAGCTTTGGTTTTTCTTTTCCCTTCTTTTCGCCTTCCCTCCACCCCAGTTTCTCTGAACAGTCTCTTCCCACTTTACAACACCTACTATACATTTTGGATCTTATTTACTCTTTCAGCTTCTCACACTAGGGACGGAATATGATGCTTACACAAGTGAGTGGATTATTTCACTTATGCGTATGGACGAATTTTCTATTGTTAAGCCACCAAATCTGTGGTATTTTGCTACAAGAGCACCTTAGCCAACCTCCACTCCCCTTATTCACTGGGTTCAGTCCTCCGGGGCCTCTTTGGTGTAGCACATGCTGCAGGCTGGCTTGGCCTCAGGGACCCTGGATGTTTCTTCAACTAGAGCTTTATCCTGTAGAATCCAGCCTGGTCCCACTCCTGTGCTGGCAGCTCACATGCCACAGTCCAGAGGTCCTCTCTGATGCTCCTGCTATTCAAATCAGCCCTCACAGCCACCATGGCCACCCCTCCCTCCCTGTGCTTCTCTTTCATCTTTCTTGATAGCATTGCTGTGTTGACTGACTGCTCCCCTCTAACACCAGAGGAAGAAACTTTGCACTTTCAGTGTTGCATCCCCAGCACCAAGAACATCTGGTGCACAGAAGTAACAAATATTAAATACATAAAAGAACAGCTCCCATAGCAGTCACCTTTTCAGGAGTAAAAAGAGAGCATGTGCTGTGCTCAGGTCTAAAGCATTTGTGGGCTCATCGAGGAACAAGATGGAAGGGTCAGTGACCAACTCCATGGCAACACTGATCTTTCTTCTTTCTGCTCTTGTCACACCATGGATTGCTTCAGATCCAACCTAAAACAAAATGTTACCAATAGAAGTGACCACATCAGTAGTACTTGGTGAAAATCTTTGTATGAGATTTTCCCCCGTTTGAGACATTCCTTCTTATTATTCTCATTGCTCTGAATAGGTAAAAAGAGGACCTCTCAGAGATGAAAGGGGGTTCTGTTCTATGAGATGAGTGAACTCTGCCTACTGTCAGAACTGGTAAATGCCTGAGATCAGATATGAAGCTTATATTATTTTTATACTTCAATAGTTGCCTTATCAAGTCAAATACACATATATTTAGGCCGTAAGTCAGAATACTAAATGGTATGGCACAACACAGTGAAATCAGAATCTAAGACAGGTGATAAAAGCCAGATATCATGCCACACTTCTGTAATTACAGCGCTGCGGGAGGCTGAGGTAGGACAAGGACAAGTTTGAGCCCATTGCTAGTTACTTAGAGAAACCCTGTATCAAAACAAAAAAGAAAAGAAAATTAAAAAGAGGCTGGGGATGCAGTTTAGTGTGAAGGCACTGGGTTCAAGTCCCAATATCACAAATGAACGAGTGAGATAAAAACAGGAGAGCAAAAGGGAAAGTACTTATGAAAATTCATCAGACTTTTACCGTGTACCTCTCCACTGTTTCCAGCAAAAGTCTCCAAATGGAATTATAAGAAGAGAGTGTACGTGGAGCCGGAAAGTTCACCTTCAAACAGACTGTGTTAGCACCTTTTCAATTTCCATGACTCTTCCCCATCAGACACTGCCCACATTGTAACTCACTGCAGGATTTTTCATGGACATTTTTCAGAAAAATGTGGAAGGTGGGGCATTTTGCAGTGCAATTGTCTCAGTCTTTTCAGCCAATGAGTGTCATTTTGGGTAATGAGAAGAGTAGGAAGTTTTGGGAAGGCAGCAGTGTGAAACTGCAATTTAGAGGCTCCAACCATATAGTCACATGCTACTCCTGGCTCTCAATAGGTTGAACAGTTGAACTACAAAAGACATTTGGAGACAATTCAGGACATGTAAATGATTATGGACTTAATGAATATGATCCTTTTGCTAGTTGATAATTGATACTTGTATTTTTGTAGATCCATTGCATGTATGAAATGTGATATTATATAATTTTTTAAAATTACACCAGTAAGAAAAAATTTGAAGAATTATGGAATATAATACTAAAAACTGAGAAATCAAGATGTTTCCTATAATACTATCCATGAAGCAATTTGATTAATTTTTCTGAATTTATGTTATTTTATGTTTACAATATCATAAAAAATTAAAAATTATAATTATTTCAATTATACTATATGAATTTTAAGAGATGAATAATTTCATTCAAGGTTCTTGCTGAAAATCCCAGAGAGTAATACAGCACAACAAATAGATACAAAACAGAATAAATGGAAGCACCTTGTGGGAAAGGAAAAATCAAGTGAAATAAACAGACTGAAAGCAAGGAAAGATGAATCATTCATAATAACAAAATAAATAATGGCATCGCAGGGTGACTCTTCTAAACAAGAACAGTTCACTAAAGTCTTTCAGCAAGTGTCATGGGAAGCAGCAATTAGAAGAGCCCTTGTTTCCCATTGAGCTAAGTAGGGGATGTCACTGGGTTAAAACAAGGCTGTTATCATCTAAATAGCTCATTGTCACCTAAAACCCCAAATGTCTGCTCAGGATTTCTTTTATAGGGAATTCTCAACTGGAGAGAACACTCATTCCTCTGATTTGATTTCATGGATTTGCACAACCCTCGAAATGGGGAGTTTTTTGTCCTATTTTTTTTTTTCATCTATACTTTTGTCCACAAGTCTATTTCTAAAACCTGAAAAGTCTTAGAAAAAGACTTCTTAAAAGAAGAGTTTGGAAAAAAGAGAAAGAAAAATGGAGAGATATACTTGGGGAAGAAAGAGGGGAAAGGCCTTAAAAATATGACTAGAGAACTACAGCAAGTAAAATATACTGAGCAAAAATCATTGTATATCATTATTTATTAATTCCAGAAAGGAACCCTCAAATATCAACAAAACAAACTTCTCTGGAGTAAGAGAGAGAGATGAATTCCTAAGTTAGAAAAGGAAAAGCACAAGTAGAAAAGTTAGTGCAAAATTATCAGATGATCCAGACAATGAGGTTTGTGCGGATCATTTGAAAAACACTACAGAGAAGGTTTTCTTCCTAGAGCTTGTTCCACCCCCAGGATTCAACAATCATTAAATTAATTTTTCCAGGTAATTTAAATGTCCTTATGATGTAACTAGAAACTTTTCTCCTTATTATAAAAGCAGCCATTTTGACCACGAACATAGAAAAATACTGATTATGATCATATTTTTCACAGAAGGAAAGTCTTATTATGTGACTATAATTTCACCAGTTTTAATAACATTACCTTGGAATCTGCCACTTTATCCAGACCTAGTTCTTCAATGACCTCATTAATCTTTTCATCTTTCTCATGACTCGTCACAGTTGTTGGAAGCCGAAGAGCTGCTGAGAAGTATAAGTTCTCTCTCACCGTCAGTGTGACCATCATGACATCATCCTTAGACAAATGGTATTTTAGTGAGACAAACTGAGTCTTTTCTAAGCTGACCCATCACTCTAGAACATGTAACTTAATCCAAGAACATAACACACCCAAAGTAAAGGTCTCGCTACTGGTGACCATTACATTCTACAAATTGCAGTAACTGCATGTACAGACAGCTGCAGAATCTACTGGAATAATTTTCAAAACACATTTGCACATCCAAAAAGAGTACAGGCAATGATGATTATCTTGTTCTCGTGTAATAAACTTGAAGTTTTGTTGACTCCTTTGCAGAAAAAAACTTTTAGTACAAGTCAAAAAGAAGCATGAATGGGATTTACTACAGATTGTGAACCAGACCCTTGAAGGAGGTGCACACACTGAAAGGAGTGAGACAGGATCCAATCTACAGGAGGACACATGGAAAGGGGTGTCTTCAAAGCAAGTGATCTAAGATGTGTGTTTTTGCTGTCTGTCAGTTTCCAGTGCATGTGTCTGAGGTGGAGACAGGCTGTTGCCAAGGTTGTTGTGTTTTTGGCTGGAGAAAAAGGCAACTTATAAGTGTAAGGGACATGTCTAGTGCCCTGGAGTTTATAAGCTACTGTAAAAGAACTTTTAAACATTTAACAGTATTTCAGTAAGGATGAAGGGGGTGTCACAAGCCAGGGTGGCCTCCAGAAGCAGGGAAACAAATGCTATCTTGCTGCAAATTTTCTTAAAAGTATAATTTTGTTTTTGAAACATAATTTTAAAATCTCAGTTTTATGTCTCCTTTCTACATTTTTTTTTATTTTTTTATCCTATCTCATGATGACTAGTAGCAAACACTTTCAGACATCTTCCTACAATGATTTGCGAAGGAGAGCTTCAAGGGAGAGAGAAAAATGTAGAAAGCATAACACAAGAGCCTGATGAAACAGATATACTGGCTACAATTGATACCACTGCCCTACAAAGGTCAGAGTCCATATCTGCTCTGTATTTTCATTTATTACCACACTAAATCTAGTGGATAATTATTAAAAGTTGGTGTAAAGAAACTTAGTCCTATATGAATGTTTTATATTCAGCTGGAAACCATAAACAAAGGCACTTGCCCATATAAAAATGAGAAAATCTAAAATGCAAAGCCAGTAATACTTACTTGTGCCACATAAGCTGAATCACATTTGAAACTGTCAGGGTGAGGTTCTCCATTTATCAAAATGTCTCCAGAGAATTTTCCTGGATGTTTTCTTGCAGCTAAGACATCTAACAACCTGTAAGGGGATATACATGTTTCAGGGCTTCTATCCCTAAAACACAGATCATTTATCTCAACTTTTCTGCTCAATATAGAAAATAAAATTAGTTAGGAAATTCTATGATTTATCTAAATATATACTTTCATTATTTGATACATGACGGCCCCCAAAATAAAAATATGTTATCATTGGTTTATCTGGCACAGACCTCCCAAATTATCTGCCTGTTGAGGATAATTTGGGAGAACATGGAGGTCCTAAGACAGGCAATGTGCTTTTTTAAGTAAGAACCACAGCCCTACATAAAACATGTTACAGCTTCCCATTCCCATATAAATATTATCCATGTATTTTCACATTCTCTTGGTTCATAATACTGGCTGCTGAAAACCAATCAGTTTATAACGTCCTAGTAGTAAACCTGACTAATAAGACTTTGTTGTCTTTCACAAGCCGGCCCAACTGAACATTATCAACAGCACCTATGGCCAGACCAGACATGCAATGTAAATACTGAACCAACCCTAGCTCACGTAACTGATTTTTAAAAGGATTCTGAAACTGCACAAACAAGGCTGACCTAAACTTTCTTTTATACTCACAAAGAATTGCCTGCACCTGAAGGTCCCAGAATGGCATTGAGGCCAGGTCTCATGATCCCACTGAAAGCATAAATATATATTGACTTACTGTTCCACATTAAACAAAATTGTACTAATTTAGAGTCTTAATTGAATACACTTAATGCAGGTTAATGAATTTATACACAGAAAGCAGGAATCAACCTATAAATTAAAAACCGATTGTCATAAGATTAGTATACAGAATAAAGATATATTTCAATCATGACCTATAAAAATGGCTCTAGTCTCCTTAATTTCCTTTCATATACAGTAATACCTTGGTTCACAAATGCTTCCATTCATGAACAATTTGGTTTGCATATAGCAAACCATTGCTTCCCTTCACAAACTCTCCATTGGGCAACAAACAAGATGTTGGCCATCTTCCCCACAGAAATATAAATGCATATATCTTCTGAGCTCTGGTACAAGGTGGTAACTTCCTCTAGTCAAGATCATGGCTGCAGACGACCTATACACACTTGCTCTACAGAGCATTTGGTGAGTTTTTTAGCAAATACAGTGCCATCCAGTATTATTTGACCTAAAACAGGCCCAAAGAAAGTTCAGAGCAAGCATCATGATAAAAAGTGTACAGGGCTCATGAGGATGACAAACATGTGTGGACCAATAATGAGTTAAGTCAGGTTAGTGTTCTCTCCTTTCACACTGTCCTGCGCTGTACTTTGTTTGATATTCTTGTGCTTAAAAACATATACAGTTCCGAGTGGATTAACCTTATTTACACTGAATATTATGGGAAAATTCGATCTAATGCCCAATGAAAATCAGGTTGCAACTGCATTGGTGAGGGCCAAAATGGATTAATCTTATTTACACTGAAACTTGTGGGGAAATTTGGTTCAGTTCACAACAAATTCTGTTTGAATCCAGATTCACGGAATGAATTAAGTTTATGAAGGGAGGCACTTCTGTATTCTTAAAACCATTTATTCCTTTGGTGACTGTGCTAGTTAGGGTTTTCTATAGGAACAAAATTGATATAAACATACATAATTATACAAAAGCATTTATTAGGTTGATTTACAAGGTCAGAAGTAGAAGAGTCACAAGAGCCCGCTGCAGGACCATAGGTATGAAATTCCAGCATGGCCCTCTGTGTGCTGGTGATCCAGAGGATCCAGGAGCAGCCACAGCTGGAAGCCTGAAAACTCACAGCAGTAGCTTGTGTGAGTCTCTGTCAGAAGGCCAAAGGGTCTGCATTGCAAAGCTCAGGAGTCTGAGCTAGAAGGCTGAAGTAAGTGGAGACCAATGTCCAAAAGCAATGGGGAAGACTGGTGCAAAAGAATAACAAAGTAACACTTTCTTCTTTCCCTTTGAATTCTGTGCCTGCCAGTCTATCTTTGGTCTTCCAACCTCACATTGCTGGCACAAATGTCAGGCTTTCACAGTCACAACTGGAATCGACTAATCTTCTGGGTGGTTCTTATTCGAGTTGAAATACCACAATGATCACAATTCCTCCTTTGTAAACTTGACATCTCCTAAAATAATACTTAACCTCCAAATACACCACAGACTTCTTGATTACACCTAACATGGGACAACTCTTGCCTCCACGAATGAAACACACTAACTTCCTCCAAGAACAGAACACATAGCTTTTCTCTGGGTCCCTACTCCTCTTCTTATATTTATTAACTTATATATTATTGTGTGGATTTAACAAAGCTGAGGAACCAATCAACATCATGCTACAAAGAAAAAAACAATACCCATTTAATACACGTGTTAATATGCAAGTTTATTAACAAAAGAGGAAGGAAATCCTCATGACAGTTGTACTCCTTACTTCTGTAACTGGCTGGTGGTTGTCACTGGTATTGATACCTAACTTCTACCACTCATTCTCCATTCTGTTGGACTTCAGAAAACACCTCAGTAGGTCTTGGCTCTTGGTCTGGTAGGGTGACAGCTTCATTCATGAAAATTAGGGGTCTTCTGTCATCCATGGGGCATTGAGCATCATAGTCTCCCATTTCTGTGGTTTATATCTGCAGTAACCCCAGAAGCCTCCTGTGTTCAGTGGCGGGGCTTTCAATGGTGGTGGAATCATGCCACATGTGCTGTTTGGCAATGGAGCCTGCTTGGTATGGGGTCACTGGAAGTATCACCATAAAGGATGTGTCACCCTTCCCACTGCCCCCTTCACTCTCACTCTGCTTCTTGCAGCTACAATTTGAGTAGTTTTTCTTCCAAAATTCCCTTCTACTGCACTTTTTCTTCTTTGGAGTGGCTGATAATTTGTGAGTTTTGGGTCTTGTGTTTCAGAGATGAGAAAGTATCTAAGATACCCACTGACCTGAATAGCTGGCATGGTAATATTAGCCATCCTAAGGGATCTCCTGCACTGCAAACATGCTCTTCTTTACACCCACTGTGGAGGATTAGTCCAATTTCTCCTTCATACTCTGCATCAATCCCCACTCCCAACAACATAACTCCCTTTAAACATCTTGTTGATTCAGGCCTGAAGTGCCCAAAGTAACCAGAGTGAAGTCTTTGATTCCAGTTCGATGGAATCACTGCTGTGGCAGCTCATACCATCACCACCCCTTCTGAGACTTCCAGGCCACTGAGCATCAGACTGCAAGAAAAGGAAGCAAAACTTCCACTAGCTTATCACTGCGAGTAACAGTGAATGGTGCCATTCCCACTGCTGCCTCTTGACCACTTAAACAATGACTCTGGGCTAGGTACCGTATATTGGACACTTACTCGCTGTATGTACAGCCCTCAGGAGAACCTCTTCCCAGTACAGCAATGTTTTCCTACCATGCCATCACTCTTTTTTTTTTTTTTTCTGGAAAAGGTAGACTTTTAATAACTTTATCACCAGGTTAAGTCACACACTTACAAAGTGGTTAGAAATTTCTGAAAGGGCATTATTGTTTAAAAAAAAAAAAAAAAAAGCACTCATCCTTACATAAATAGTACCTAGGATTCCACTGGGACACTATGGTTCAAAAGGCCCTGGCCAAATAATTGCCTGAATGCAACAGTCCTCCAGCCTATGGTAAGTGAAGCAGAGTAAGACATAGAAGGCAAGGCCGGGCTGGGCCCCAAAGCACTCAGAGCCAGCCAGGCTCCAAACAGGGAGCCCTGTAGTTTTCCCTGGGACACTATTCAACTACAGTTCAATTAGTCAACACAATAGGTCTTCAATGGGGAGGAGAGATTAATTACCATGATAAGGAGGTTATTGCATTCTTTGGACTATGTCATAATTGTAGTTAGCAAATTCTGATGGTTAATAAAAATAGCCTCCATGGTTGTAGGTATGAAGACAACTCTCCCTTGGGCTTTGTTGTTCCTGCTGGACAATACATGACTGATAAGCTATAAATGACATTGTTTTATGTATATACTAGCTTCCTTCATTTATTATGTTTATAGGCATTTACTGCTTGAGTCAAGGTTAGGCTTGTTAAGTGATTAAAGGCAATTTTATTACAGCAGCACATTCTTCTTCTATTCTAAAAGAATAAAATGCATAAGAGGAACAGCTTTTATTTTTTCTTTGCAAAAAATTGTGAAATTGAGTTATTTTGTTAATGTAAAGTACCAGTAACTCACTTGAGGACCATGCCACCTTCTGAAAATGCCATACACCCATTCATTAAGTGTGTCAAAGCTCTCCCTCGTGTGGACTTGCCAGTGTGGGTGAGCAACTGCTCGATGGCTTCCAGGTCGGCATTGGCTGGGAGCTGGGAGCAAGATAACAGCCCAGGAGGAGGGGCTTTGTAGTTTAAGGCAAGTGTCTATATGGTTCCCTGGCACAGCTTGTGTGTATGATCCCTGAGCCTTCTCTGTGTTCCTCTTAAAGGGTTGACTTGGGCTGACTAGCTGAGAATGGTCCGTTATCTACTGAGTCATGGGAAGGATTGCTGCAGTTATGTGTAAACTGTGAGGACTGCAGAAAGTACGGTGGAGGAGGTAGCAAGGCAGCTGGCCACCAGCGTCTATGTGAAGGTCACGCCCACTTCATTGTACACTTTGAAGACTTTCTCAATGGCATTGACGTAGGCAGCCTCCTCAGCTCCAAGCCCAGATTATACTTCATGGCTGTGCACATGATTTGCCTGTCAGAACACTCTGTTGTGTAGGCCAAGCCAGAGTGCACAATGTCTCTCTCCGATGCCCCTGATATCCTGTCCTGGAACTCTGCTGTTCAGACGATAGGAATTGTTCCACTATGCTTCCCAAATTTTCTTTCTAAGCTTTCTTGAACAGACATGAGCAACTGGTAGTTAGAATCCCTTTCACATTTGAAGGTCAACTGGCCATAGCTGACATGATTTAGAGTCTTCAGCCATTCAAAGTAAGATACTGTCACTCTTCCAGCTTTCCAGCAGAGATCTGGGATAACAATGATGTTCCTCTCCAGGAAGGTCTTGTCAGCTTCCAGAGTAGTGGATCCATTAGCACCTTCAGTGATGATCTCGGCTTTGACTTTGGGTGCACTGGATTTGGTCAGCTGCTTCTCACTGGCAGCTGGGATCAGGATGTCACAGTTAGTCAGCCTCCAAGATGCTTCCTTCATATATTCTTGCCTTAGGGAATCCCAGAATTGATCCATGTTGCAATTTGAAATCTTCCAGTTCTTTTGGGTCAGTACCATCTGGATTATATATACTCTCATCAGATTCCCCAACACCAATACATTTAGCACCAAAACTATGCAAATATCTCATAGAGTATAGGCCTACATTACCAAAACCCTGAACAACAAACGTTTTATCTCCAAAGCCTGGTGTCATTCCTGAAATGCTCATGTAGTGAGTTTCATTGCTGAAGTTCACAATCCCATGGAAAACACCACGGCAGGTTGCAGGGATCTGCTCCTAGATGCCCCCTTGACTGATGGGCTTCCCAATAACGCAGGCATGTACGTTAATATCATAGTGCCCTATGGTGCTGGTGTAGGTGTCCACGATCCAGAACATCTCCTGCTCACCTGTGCTCATATCTGCGGCAGGCATGTCAATGCCAGGACCAATAAAACCCTTCTTTGCTAG